AGAGTGCATACAATTCACTCTAGATTTTATTCAGAAGTCAGACATTAATTAGAGTTGGTGTATGTGCCTCATACTCTGGTTGCACAGGACAATCTAGAAAAACCCACAACCCTCATTCCCTGCTAAAGGTTCTGTCCATGTGACGACAAGCTGGCCTGAAATCTGCCTGGTCCTCAGGCTACTGGAGACCCACGCCTCCACTCGGCTGAGCCCCTCCCATTTCCACCCCCTCTCTCGCTCCTGGAAACCCCTTGCGCTGCCCCACCAGGCACTGATTGGTCCAAACCACACTGTGTGTGACAGCGTTTGGGGACAAGCATGTCTCAAGCCCCTTGAGGATCACAGGCATGGAGGGCAGAGGAGCTGACGCACTGGCCACCTGCAGTCTGGGGTGCCGCCCCCCGATACCGTCAGGCTCTTATCTGTCACGGTGGGTTTTACAGGGAAGGCTCCGGGGGTTAGGTTACGCAACTTGCCCAAGGCTGGAGATGGTAAACAGAGTCCGATGGCAGGCCTGAGCATTTCTATCATTAAAGTAATGCACAGCAAGAGCTAGAGGACACCTAACTCCAAATTTGGGGTCCAATCTGCCTCGTTCCATCAGAGAGCAGGGCTGGTGGCGACAGGGTCACTGTGCCAGGCCAGCTGGGCAGATACTGGGCGTTTCCAATGTGCCTTTTTTGTTTTAGTGAGAGCGCATGAGCAGGGCAGACAGAGAGGAAGACACAGATCTGAAACAGACTCCATGATCAGCGCAGAGCCCAACACAGGGCTCAAAACCAAGACCCTGAGATCATGACCTGAGCTGAAATCAGTCTACCAACTGAACCACCCAGGCGCCCCACGATGTGGCTCTTAACAGCCACCAACAGACTAATTCTGTACCCAATCTGCATTTCAGGCCTCAGGAGCTGGGGCTGCCCCTGACTGCTCGGGGCACATACCCCAACTCTGGGGGCTCTGGAGGAGGGGAGGAGGCCGGGAGGGGGCAGGGAGACCCCCTCTCAGGCCGCTGGAGCTATGAGCAGGCAGTAGAGGGGTCTTCTCATTAGGCGCCCAGGGTCGGGGTCCCACTGTGGAGGTGAGGGAGGTGCATTTGCCAAGTCTCTCCATCATCTGGGATGAAGGCCTCCGTCCCTGCAGCCGTTAGGGCAGGTGGGCCCTCATGCCCTGGAGGGTGGACTTGGTCCTCAGTCCTTCTGTCCCTGCTTCTATGCCCCGCATGGTTGGGTTCTGAGCAGAGGCAGAGAGTGCGCGGCCAGACCCGAGCGCAGGAGGCATGGGCTCTGCGAGGTGCGGGGCCCGTGAGCCACTGGGATCCACTCAGCCCTGGGGCGCCAGCAGCACCCGTTACAAAACCTTCTTGACTCAGTCCACGGTTAGTGAGCCTGGCCTTTCCAGACCCTCTCAAATAATTCATTTTATTCTGGAATCACATCCTTCTAAAGGGGGAAAAAACTCCTTAAAAACAAAATGTCAACATTCTTCTGTGGGTGTCCAGTTCGAATTTAAACGAGAAGCAGACTTTGCAAAGCTGCAGGGGCCAAGGAGCCTCTTGCCAAGGTTTCTCTGCTTGAAGACACGGCTCGTCAGCTCATTCTTCTCTGCCCTCACTACCCAGTCTCCTAAGAGACAGATCTGCTCACGAAAACCCTATGTGTCTCCCAACCAATGTCACCATAAAGAAACGGCAGCATAGCAAGATCGAGTAGCTTTGTAGTAAAAAGTCAACTTTCCAAAATGCTGTTACCGCCAGCAAGCCAGTGATGGAGGAAGAGGGAGAGGTGAGTCTGGACAGGCCTGGTCTGCTCAAGCATGGGCTGGGCCCTGCACTCCCCTGTGGGTTATGGACCGCGGCATCTGCCACCGCCCCGATGGGCTAATGCCCCCCTCCCTCCAGTGCTGCCGCAGAGACAGGCTACACCGCCTGGTCCTCGGAGCAGGAAATTTAGAAAGACAGACATTAACTATCGTGCCATGAGCCACCTTCCCTTAATAATTTATTAAGTGCAGGGGTGCCTGGGGTGGGGAGGCTCGGTCGATCTCAGCTCCTGATCTCAGCTCAGGTCCCGATCTCACAGTTTGTGGGTTCAGGCCCCGCATCTGGCTCTGCGTCGACAGTGTGGAACTTGCTTGGGATTCTCTCTCTCCCTCTACCCCTCCCCCACTCGCACTCGCTCTGTCTCTCTCTCAAAATGAATCAAGAAACTTAAAAAAAATAATTTACTAAGTGCCCATGCTGCCCCACTTGATCTCACTTAACCCTATGATGAAGGCGTCATCATCCTTAAGTACAGTGCAGGAGGGAAAGCAAGGTCAGCCGTTTTCGGGCCAGTGAGCCGTGGAGAACCAGGACTGCCAGGCTCTGGGGCCCCTGTGGCTGAGCCCCCTTCTCATCCTCGGGTGACGGGCACAGGGCCACACATGCAAGGGAGCCTCTGGTAGGTGTGCCCAGCGAGCTCATTGGGCAAGCTGCACAAACTGGATTGTCCCCCGCCCTGTGTGGTATTGGACACTGCTTCCTAAGCCAGTATCTGATCTCATTCCCAAAAGTAGGACATCCCACAGGCTGTCCCTGTCCTCGCATCACACTCACACTAGCACAACTGCATAGCCACACGGTTGGTCGGCCTACGGCACCCAATAATGGGACTTCCTTGGAAATGCCACACCACAGTTTCACTTTGAGAAAGTCTACCTGTCCTTGGAAAGCGTGTTGGAGAACCACCGTCCACTGGGACCCCCGAAATAGTTGTGTGGCTAGCGACTGCGGGTGGCTGGGGCAGGGCTTAAGAACTTACATGTTGGAACCCAGCTATCTGGGTTCCAGTCCCTGCTCAGACTCTCGCTTGGCTATGTGGCATTGGACAAGTTACTTAACCTCTCTATGTGTCTGTTCCTTTGTCTGTAAAACTGTAATAATGGTGTCAGCCGTCAGGGTATGCAAGGGCCAGGGGATGGTACACGTAGATTCAGAACAGCGCCTGGCCCCTGAGTGGCGCCACATCAGGGCTGTAGCCATCACCATTAATGCAGCTCAGAGGCCCCTTCTCTAGGCTACAATTTGCTATTTAGAGAAAAAAACTGGGCTGTTTGACAGCTAAATTTAAATAAAATTTCAACTTGTATTTTTAGTGACTTGAAAAACTATGCCTGCTTGTGCTTCTGGAGGCTAAAGTTAGGGACATCTTCATGAACGTCCCCTTGTGGATTGTGGACCAGAGGGTGCTGTGTACCAGCACCCCACTTCCCACAGCCAGAGGCGCAGGGTCCCCTCCTTGGAAACAATGCCCCAAACACTCTCCATGCTCCCACGTGAGGTGCTCCCACAGGCAGTGCCCCCCACATGCACATTTCGCACTGGGGTAGATGATGTCCTATGTCTGTCAGGAGGGCTCAATCTAATCTCAGAGAGCATGACATGGTCAGGATTGCGTGACCCTGCTGGCGTCTGTCCTGGGCGCCTACACAGGCAGACACAGGCCGTGGATCCTGCCATTCACAAAAGAGACGAGGGCAAGGAGAGGACACGTGGATGGCATCAGACACACGTGGAAGGAGCGGGTGTGAGAGTGAAGGCCCGCTGCGCGCAGCTTCGGGAAGCCAGCAGGTTCTGCGTCCAGAGACAGGCCCTCGTGGGGGCGGCATCGCTGCTCTGGCTGCCAGGATGCGATTTCACACTGCTGGGTCTGCCTGGGAGCCCGGGAAACTGGGGATATTTGGACTCAAAGACACTTCGCCGCCTCACGCGCTGGGCGCTATCTTATCTGTGTCCTCACCCTCGCCAGAGCTATTTTGGAACGGGCTGCGGCGAGGACGGCATTCCTGCGGAATGAGCACAGAGCTAAGCTGAGAGAGCCCACGGCCGACTCGGACGGGCACAAGGGCCCAGACACGAGGCCTCGTCTACCTAGCCGTAGCCCCAGACTTTCATTTGGCAACGGCACACTAAAAACACCTACAGGTTTTTGGAGAGCGTGTACCTTGTAGGAAAGCTGTGCTACACGTATGTACACCCACGGCTTCTCTGAGAATCAGCTGGCACGTGAAGGATGGTCCTAGAAGCCCCCCGCCCCCACCCAGCCAATGCCACAGCATCGTCTCAAGACACATTCGTGTGTACACGCACATCTGAATCCTACTTTGGTAGATGGCATTCTGCCTGAGCTCATTGGGATTTAGAAGTAATCCTCAAACAATATTATCTTAATGGATCCAAATTTCAAAGGGCTTATTATTTTATGTTCTTTTGAAATAAAATCAGACGTCTTAATATCTGCAGTGAAAAGTTGAACCCTCACCCCAAACCACCAAGAGCAGATTTAACTGGTTTTAACCCTAGAGACACCAGGCTCAGCCTAGCAGACGTTTTACAAACACAAATGAAGAGTCACTATTCAGAGTAAAATAACCCAGACAGACCGTAAGAAGCGCCGTCTGGCCAGGGAGGGGACGCTGGTGGGTGTGAAACCCCCTTCCTGCGGAGGCATGGGGGACAGGGCTGGGGGCTCACCCGCGGTGCGGGGCTCTGGGGACCGGGAGGGGGGGTAAGAGGGGCAGGGTGGCCGGCTTACCTGTGGTCAGGGCCGCGGCCGTCGTCAGGTGCATGATGGTGTTGTCACTCACCGGCCACCTCTCCCGGGACGGCACCAGCTGCTCCTGGCCCCCGCTCGCCCGCGGCTCCTCCTGGACCTTCCTTCCGGAAGCGCTGCTGTCCTTGCGGGAGTTTCTGTGCCCGAGAGCGTCCCCCACCGCCCCCAGCAGCATGGCAGCCTTGAACTTCTCCATCTCGGGGTAGCGCCCAGCCCCTGGGCCCCGCGGAGCCGCCCTCCGTGCGCCCCGCGGACTCCGCGCCGACCCTGGCTGCTGGCAGGAGCTCCCCGAGCCGGGCGCGCCCGTGTCTCCGCAGGCGGCGCCCTCCCCTCCGCCCCCCTGTGCCCCGCCAGGAGCCACGTGGACGGCGACACCGGCTCCTCACCCGGGGAGCCCGCGGCCTGAGTCAGCGTCCGCAACAGCTGCGGACGCCTCCCCGCGGGGCGGCGACCTCTAAGCCTGAGCCCTTGGCTGTTCTGGAAGGCGCGCGCCTTTCTACCGCTCCTGCGCGTGTTCCAAGGCGCTCCGCCTGGCGGGGAGGGGGCGGGGAACCCTCGCTTCAGAGGAGCGCACAGCACGGTGGTCCCGGGGTCCCCTGGTCTCGTCTGCCGTGCCCCCACCCACACCCAGGCCGCGCTCCTGCACCCTCTGCCCCGACAGCTCTTTTTCTCGTTTCAAGTCGACAGAATCGTAGCCTGTGACGCCTTCCCATCTGGCTTCCCTCACTCAGCATAGCGTGCAGTTTCACCCATTACGTGCACGGTTTTAGTTTTTGGGAAACTTTTTGATGCCTGAACGTGTTTGGTAGAGAACTCAGAAAATGCACGGTGCACTGGAGAGAAGCCCCTCTAGCCTCAAGGAGGCGTGTCACGGACCCCTCTCACCTTGCTGTGCTCTCCCGTGGTGGCCGGGCTCCAGATGGCAGCCGTATTCAGACCCCCCCCCCCCGCCTCGTTTCCGCATTCGGATCCGGATCCCGGAGAGGACGCTGAGGGGTAGGAGGCGGCTAGGGTGCGTGTGAATGTGCAAACTGGGCTCTGGGTTTGGAATCGGGAGTTAGGAAACTGTCCCCCTCGTGGGCCTCGCTGCCCCCTTGGCCCCTGGGACCTGGTCACTCACCAGACCAGAGTGGGCCCCATCACACCTGGACTTAAAAAGCACCTGTGACAAAAATAACATTTCTTTCAGTAATAACAAGATACTGAGCTGCACTTAAGCACACAGAGCCAGCACAGAGGCCTGGGGGGCGAGGCACGCCGGCTCCTTGTCCACACTGCAGCCCTCTATCCAGACAACTGCCCTTCATGGGTGGAAGAGTGTCCTTTGGCAGAAACAGCTACTGTTGAGGGCAGAGGAGGTTCCCGGCTCATTTCTCTTGCTGACCCTGAGGCCATGGAAACCTTTCCTGAGGTGGCCAGCAGCTCCCCCACACCGTCCCTGCCTTGTCCAGCAGCACTTACTGAGCCTGGGCCGAGCTCCTCCAACCACGGTGTGCCTCCCCCCACGTGGCCTGGAGTGTTGTACTTGGACGTGCACGAAGTTCAAGTGAAGCAGTGACGTGAATACATCCCCAAGATGGAGACGGGGTCATGTCTACTCCGGGAGACACAGGTAACACGTCTTTATTCAGCCTGTTCTATTTGGGGGACTTGTGTATTCTCTGTATATTCCTGGTTTGCATGTCCATGTGTCCTCCCGCAGGATTCCCAGCAGCTCCGGGAGATTCTGCCGGTTACAAGAGAGCTACAACTCTTCACACACAAACAACCATACTTATTTAATGCACTATGCGGTCACGAGAAGGAAACTAAATGGCCAAGCTTTGTGTATTGGGGTGCGGCCATCTACGTGAGCAGGCAGGCTGAACATGGGTGGGTGTCCCCAGAGGGGCCGTTTTCCCGCTGGTCCCGTGGCATCCAGCAGCATCTGAGCAATCGAGAATAGAGTTACAAGTGCACCGCCACTGCCACACCAGAAAACATATTTTATTTCAACGTTTGCAAAGCTCTTAGCACTTTTCATGGCACACGTGCTTTAAATAAATAGAATAGAAGAAACCGCAATCTTGAAGAGCCTTTGTCCGGCCACTAATGTTCCATTATTTACTGATGACCAAGTGCACAGAAGCTCCCCCACTCCCACAACTTCGAATCTTAAGAACGAGGGGTCGCAGACCTACAGCCTCCTCCGTGAACACTTACACGGCAAGAATCTGCGAAGGCTCGAAGGATGCTTTAAAGCTGTTGAGGTTTTTATTACATAAAGTGCATGCTCTCTTAGAACCACAGGCTGGCAGGCAGAGACGGCCCTGTCGACCCTGTGGCAGACGGGGAAGTACAGGCCCAGGAGACACCGCGGGACTCAGTCGTGCATCTGTGTAGGGGCCAACCCAGCCCAGACTCTGGCCTGCAGGCCTCAAGCCCCCTTTCCCACCCGGACAGCCTGTGGCTTCTCTGAATGACTCCTCTTTGGAAGTATAAACGGTTCACACATGGCAAGCACACGAACACCTCCCATGGGCACAGAAGCTTCCTGAAATGCTGAATCCCAATTTTGAAAGTCACATCAAACTACACATTTTAAGCACACTGCCCATTCACGGAAAGTCCACTGTGAACTTCCTCTCCTGTGAAGTGACCCCAGTTTATCTGTCTCATAAATGGGACTGCAGACAGGGTAGCAGGCACATGTGCGACGTGAAGATCTTTTCAAATATAATGCAGGGTCTGCACAGTGATTTTTAGAACACCCAGGAGCTTTCCCAACAGGAGGAACAGGTAACGTCACAGGCTCCACCATCGGACAGCACGGCAGAGTCCATGCCTCGCCCGACGGCCTCCTCTCACAGACGGTAATGCGACGGTCACACACTGCAGACGTAAATGAGACGGGACCTTCCCGTCTGGGCATCTCGGGTAACAGTGTGCACTGTAGCTTCCGAATGTGCGCAACCATGCAGAGGGCCGGAGGGAACAAACTCACTCCATTTCTGAATCTATAATCCGTTGCTCATAAAAGAAATACTTTCCAGGGAAAAATGTCTTTTTAAACGTAATAAAATACTTTTTTTTTTTTCTAAAGCATACTTTACAGAACTTTTTCGGAAGCTCATTCAAATGACACTGGACAGGACAGACCAGCTGACTTGTAAACAGTACATGATAAAATGTCCCTGGAATCCCATGGTGATGGGTGCTGTCACCATGCAGACTGCAGCATGTCAGGAACCGTGAAAGCACGTTCACATGAACATCTACGGGAAATTAAAATAAAAACAGACCCAATAAATCCAGATGCTTGATAATTCAGAAAACAGAAGTCTTGATTTCCCGGCAGCAAGTTTAAAAAGTGTTAGGATCTGTGTCCAGATCCTTTTTAGGACACATTCCTACTAGCTTTGGCCTGCAGAGAAATACAGTGTCCCACCAAGGGCACAGACACTGTTTCACAGGTAGGATTACAACGTGGCTCAGCAGGATCTGTGCGAGCCGTGTGTTCATGCGCCTTCACGGGAGCCGCCGATTCAACCGCACACTCTGCAGATCTGCAAACAGGCTCTGGGTGACTTTTTCACAAATATGATAAAAATCATGCAGAAATTCCCTAAAGCAGCAGCCACAGGACCATCCCCAGACATCCTGAAGCAGCGTCTTCTGAGGAGCTCCTTACATGTCCACTCAGCCCTTTCTGTGTGCAGGGGGAGGTCATGCGGGCGCCAGGGCTCCTGGGAGGAGGCACTTGCTCTTGATGTCCGTGCAGCTTCACTCTCTGCCTAGAAAGGGCGGCGCTTACCGCCCATCACGACTGGCCGTGCATATTCTACAAAATCATCTATCAGAACAGGCCACGCTCCTACAGGAAAGCAAACACAGATCTTTAAAAACTCACCAGTCTAGAGCAGTATTTTTATATCCAGAGCATTCTTTCTGCAGTCAATATTTGTGTTTCAGGAGCTCAAGTGAGTCGTCTCACAGCCCATCTCTCTGGAGGGATTGCCAGTGAGATCCATTCCTCTTGCTGTAGCCAGACCCCAGGCCAGCACTGGTGCCCCCGTGCGGACGTGGCCTCTAGCGACCAGGCACTCGGGGCCGGCCGGCTGCAAGGCCCGGGCCCCTGTTCCAGGCAGTCGGGACCAGGCACAGGGCCTTCCACCTGCCCTGCAAAACACTGCACCCTTTTCTCCCTGGGCCGGTTCCCTCTCCAGGCCCAGCCTCCCCACCACCCCCAGGCAGCCCGGACCACCCCAACCCCGCTGGCCAGGAACACACTCACTGTAAGCTGCCGGCCCCTCCTCTGCAGACCAGCCACGTCTCGCCACCACAGCCACATTCCCTGGGCTTCTGTCTATGGTCAACTATTCACGTTTATTAAGTGCCCGCTCTGTGCTGAGTGCTGGGGACGCACACAGACATGCAACACCACAGGTGCCCCAGAGCGGTCGCCTCCAAGCTGGGCGTTGGGGGAGCATGCAGTGGGCAGGCTGAGACTGTGTCCTTCCCTAAAGCGGCACAGTGCCCATGGTGGCGGGCACATACATGCTCCCTGACAGGCTGTCCTCAAACATCTCAGGGTGGGGACCATGAATATGTGATCATGTTATACCAGCTGGAATCTTCACATGGTAGAATGCCTAGCCTGAGGCGCCACCCAGGATTACGTACCTGGAAGAGCGGCTTCCAAACCCGTTTGGTCCCACGGCTCTGCCGCAGGGCTCTCTGCACATCCACTTTTGAAATGCTTTAGTTTATTTAGGGGGTTGTCCTCCTAAATTAAACTAAATACGAAGCCCTATTTTTCTCGTGTGGTTGACAAGACATAAAAAGAGGATAATAGTGTCATCACCACCACCCCCACTGCACTGAGGGGGGGGGGCCCAGAGGCAGCTGGAGCCGGTCACCACCGTCCTGCCCCCAGCAGTCTGCACATCAGCATTTCTGGACATCATCGGAAGCACTACAACTTCCCGTACCTTCTTCGTCATAGTTAGACATATCATCTGCAATCATATTTCCAAAATCTAGCAGAAGGTTCCAAGTGTCCCTTGGGATTGATCTTTTGTGATGTTCCTAATACATGAGAGAAAAAAACCCACCAGACTTAAGAAACAGACGTGACCCTTGGGCATCCCAGCGGCCTCATTACTTCAGCACACACCGCGATGGGGAAGCGGCACCATCACACGTGGTCAGAAGTAATGACAGTGTTCTGGGTATGGTAGGAGCTACGTGATGCCAATGTGCAAATACACAAAAGCAGACTTGTTTAAAAGCAGAATAAACATTAAAATAGAAATTATAATCTGTTTCACTCCAATACAAGGGCAATGCTTTAAAGCTCCACCTAACACCCAGCCGATTGGCATACGGTGCGGGACAGCCGGCCTGTGGCACCCAGATACATGTACTTCTCTGCACGCCAGGTGGGTCCTGCAGTGGGATGGGCCATTTTTCAGATTTCAGGTACGCCACACGCGTGGACAACACGCGTCTGTGCTGTGACTCTCAGCGGGCAGAGGGGCGCTGGCTCCGCCCCCTCCCCCCGACCCACCCCTCCCCTTTGGGCATAGAGCTCCACACCTGCACGCGTGTGGCAGAGGCGAGTATATTCACAGATGACGCAGAAGCCACCCAACCACATGTGGACTTCTGTGGCCTTCCTTGCGTACCCCGCCTGTCGTCCTGGCCTCAATTAACCTGTTTCCACTGTGCTCTGGGAGCCTTTGTCCACACTGACAGTCTTGGGTTTTTGTCCGCTCTCAGGCCTAGGGCTCTGTGCTCGTCCCCAACGTGCTGTCCCCACGGTGCCGTCTCTGGGCACATGCGCAGGGTCCCTGGGGAACGCCTGCACTCGAGGGCACTGACCACAAAACTAGTGAGTGGTGGAAGCGGACTAAACGTGACACAGGCTGTGAACCTGCACATCGGCTTCCCCGTGCTGCTTTGAGGAGGACCCCACGCACGGCCCCCAGCGGGAAGACGGTCCTCAGCCAGGCCTCACACATTCGCAGAGGAGTCCATGCGGGAGATGTGGGCACATTGCCATCATGTGACTGTCTGCTCTGGAGGGGACCCTGGTGCTCCACACGCTTCAAACAGTGACGCCTGTCTCCCTTCCCCCAGGCCGGGGGCTGCCCCACCAAGGAGGCCCCTCCAGCTCGGAGACTCTCCTGAGGGAAGCCCAGCGAAACCCTCCTTTTTCCTGCTCAGTTAGCATCGTAAACCACATCTTCAAGTGTATCAGACTGTGGACAAGCTGGACAACGGGATACAACCTGCAGTCTGGAGCCCGTATGAGCTCACAGGACGTGTGTCGCTGTTGCTTCGGGAAGCCTAGAGCCAGGTAGTTGGAGTTCTGCAGACAAGGGGAGGCCTGCGGGTCATCTGAAACCCCAGCCTGAGAGTCCCGCGGGGCTGCCGGGAGCCCTTCTGAATCCGGCCTTGGGTAGCCCTGCCCGTTCCTTGCGGTGGTGAAGCCCGCGGCTGCTCGCCAACTGCCTGGCAGCCACGGTACAGAACCCCCCAATCAGATAACACGGGCGGCCACACAATGTGCTGACCCTTCACACTGGGCACACACAGCAAGAAGCAGAAGGACACTTACCAATAAAAAGCTGTTCCAAAGATCTAAAAATTTAAACCTTCCAGATAACACTAAATTCCAGTATGCAACAGCCATTTCTAAATCTGGCAAAAAGAGAGAAAGAGTAGTTAATAAATCCCAATTTCTTTTTCCACTGCACAAAATATGACCACTTCTTAGCACACTGGTAATCACTTAGTAAAACTCAGCACTCTTACTGAAGAGTAAGACGAGGCCCACCCCTTACAGAACGTTCCTGATACTGTGAATGATCTAATCTTCTAACTTGGGGGAAATCTCTTTAAGCGGTCTGTGCCTTGTTATTCAGACACGTACACAACTGTCCCTTAATTAACATCAGTCTGTAAGACTCCCATTTCTGTATACACCAGGCTTTCTTCAAACCTCACTGATGCAACCTGGATACTGTTCTTGCACATCAGGTAGTGTCAGAACATGCTGAACTGCAAGTTAAACAACCAGTCTTGATGGAAGGGAGGCAGTGTTTTCCCAGTGGGCGGGAAGAGTCCAGCTCGGAGGGAAGCCACACGAGACGGCCGGGACCCCTCCAAATTTCTCAGGGTGCAGTCAGGACACAGCAGCCCAGGGAGGGTGCTTCCATTGACACGCAGACATTCCCCGCCTAGGCCGGCTGCTGATTACAGCCCGTGTCCTCCATTTTCTGGGCCCGGAAGGCAGCGGTTGTGTAGTCGTGTCCCGAAGCTTCTACACAGACCTACGTACTCTGCGGGGCTCGGGTGCAGGATGAGGTCTTACAGAACAGCACCACGGAGCTGTAGGACTGCATGAGAATACCATCCTAAGCCAGAATTTCTGAAATGAGGATTCATTCTCTGCTTGGTCTAAGTTTACTATCTATTTCTCCTTGCATGCTGGATCCAGCAAGTAAACTAAGAGGCTGAGCTGAGTTTCCTTGTTAAAATTGACAGCTTTTAATGGTGTGCTTTAATCCCAAGTGCTCACCACTCAGAAAATAAAAGAACAGTTAGAATAGAACGATTTCCTAATTACACGTTTATATATGTATGTCAGGATAAACTCATGTGAAAAGCAGGCAAATAAATATTTAAGGTCACAGATTCTTTTAAATGTAAGATGCCCAAACAACCACTTTTCAGAAAATTTTCATCTAAATCTTAGTTGGTCCTACTTGGACAAAAGTGATTAAGGTAGAGCTGTAGTGGGGCCTGGCTGGCTCAGTCAGCAGAGCCTGCGACTTCTGATCTCAAGGTCGTGAGATCTTAAATTACTTCAATGATTACGTAAATAAACAAAACTTTTTAAAAAGTAGTGCTGTGACTTGAGATTTCTAGGAAAGAGCATTACTAAAACTGGATAAGCAAAGCAAGGTACAAGTAGCACCAAATTTAAATAAAACGCCTACATTCCCTGTGTTAACAGGCCGTTACAGACTTTCAGTCCTAAATACCCTGGAGTCTTACTCAGAAAGAGCCGGGCAGGAAGCTTCGAGGACTGCCCACGTGGACAGCTCGCTAACCCTCGCAGCGCCTGCGCTCTAACACTGACACGAGCGGCCTGTCTCACTAAGTCTACATCCTTGTGACTTAGGAAGAGCGTTAACTGAGATCTGCCCTCAACTCAGCTCAAGGGTGAGACAAGTCCCACACTGAGAAATGGGGGTGAACCTGGGGAGGAAAGAGAAGTAACGTCGTATGGCAGACATTTAACCTGGGTCCTATCTTAGTCTGGTCCTGGAAACCTTTCTTAAAAGTTCCTGATTTGCACATTCGTGACCAAAAGTGAACATATTCATATTCAGTGTTATGTATGTAAAAATGCTTACTATCACCCTAATCGGATCCACTTGCAAAATAACAACTAGAAAACCTCAAAATGACAGAACGTAGAGCTAGAAGCAAGGACAAGAGTGACCCCAGCAGCCGTGAGAAGATTACGACAGCTACTGCTTCCCACTAACCTCTGAGAAATCTTCTTTCCTGAGCAAGAAAATGTTTAGAGGAAATGGTTACTCTTTAAAATTTGTTTCTGATTTAGATTTACATAATGAAAATGTCCCTTCTGTCAAAGAAGGCTTTGGGTGCAGATATAAAAATTAGCTAATTATCGTGAAACTTTACTTCCTCAAAAATCAAGATTTCTCAAAGCCAACTGATTCCAGACTCTATCCTAAGCTTCTTACATGAAAACAAAAAGTCAAATAACTTTAATTACCTTCTTTATTAGAGTGACCATCAGGTAAGGACAGGCTAACAGAACATAAAACAACCCACACAATTCTAACACATACACATAAATAGACACACAAACTCGAAGAAAACGAAGAATAAATCTCTCTTTTCTTGATCAACCTTTTTGATTGGTATCCATACTTTTTCTCGGAACTAGAGCACCTCTATCAACCTCTTTAATTTATATTTAATCCTTCTGAAGACACAACATGTAAGACACTCTGGAAACTGCAACATCAATTGTTCCGCTTTGAGTACATAGGCATAAAACTATTCATCTGGCTTTATTATTTTTTAAGCCCTCAAAACCCTGGTAAAATGAGGGGACTGCACTGAATGGCCTGCACAGGCTCATGTCCTCATGAGGCTGTCACTGGGCCCTGCAGCAAATCTCCAGGAAGGACGGACGGACACACACACACACACACACACACACACACACACACACACACACATACACGGGCTTCCTACTGCAAACAGCCTCCAAAACACGAGTCTCTGGAATATTCATGGAGAAAGAAAGACCTTTTTAAACTTTAATCGGGGACTTAGACTCTAATTGACAACATCCTGGAAACCACTTGGAATTACAAGTGCACTTGGGTGTGGACTTCTGGCGGAAGGAAGTGGGCTGGAGGAGAGCAGTGCCCCACCCCTGCCCCACCCCCATAGCGCCCCTGGCCCACACTACGGCCAGGTACCCCCCCAACCCAACGCAGGCAGCACCCCACCACCTCTGCGCCCCCACCCAGCTCCACTCCTGCGAAGGCAGGAAACAGGTCAAGCTGGAACAAAAGAGGGGCTGGCTGAGCCCTGCCTAAATCCCGGACACCAAGGATCATGAAGAATATACAATGACTGTTGCCTGAAGCCACTGAGTTTTAAGGTACTTTGCTATAAAGTGGGTCTGGGGAACAATCTGAGAATCCGCAGTCCTGACAAGCTCCCAAGTGACACCAAGTTGCTGGTCTGCAGACCGTGCATTGCAAGGACTTGAGGTCAAACCTAACTCAGTGCTAGAGGTGGACAGGGAAGGCGGCTCTCAGATCAAGAGGAGAATCACCTGGGACCTAAGTCCCCTTGGGCGGAGGAAGGGGGATCACAGGACGGGGTAGAGGCCATAGACGCTGATGAGCTCTTTCCCCCAAGACAGACTTGATTTGGGGGAGAGCATGCCTGGAGCACTGGTCCCAGAGGCCAGCGCCCAGGCATCGCCAGTAACAATCACTGGGCTGTAGAGAAAGGAAAGGAATTTGGAGGGTGTCCGAGGCAGGACGATCCTCAGACACTGATTCAACAATTTGAGGCCAGAAGAAAGCGGGAGGGCACAGTTAAGACCTTCTGCCCAGAAGACCTGCTCACTCCAGCACACAGGGTGGGACCTCCCTGTGGACCCACGGGGAGGGAGGCCACCCTGCTTCCCATCCAGCGGCACCCAGTAGAGTGCTGGGCACACATGCAGGCTGCTGTTCCCACACAGCACAGAACCTTCCCAGAAATTCCCAGGACTCTTACTGCTGCCACAAGAGAGGAAACACCATTGTCTTACAGAACACTGAAGATCTGTAGTCTGGAATTTGAGAACCACTAGCATGAAGCTGTGTTTCTGAACAATCTATAAACAGTGGCTGAATCGGTATGAATGAGCACTGCTACTGACTGGATCATGGTCCTGAAACGGCTTTCTCCAGGACCAGAAACCAGGGCTCCCTGGACGAGTGTCGGGTCCCAGGTCTGGGGCTGGTAACATGCGGCTTCCGGCAGCCTGTCCTGGCAGACAGGCAGGCAACAGCCAAACACTCCTGGGTCACATCAAAGGGAGGTGGGTGCCGACCAGAAGAGGATTCCCTGGCCACAGGCAGGACGATTATCACTGAGCTTCAAAAAGGGTCAGAACTGCAGTCCACTGGACCCTTCACATGTGATTCAACCCATGAGTTCACAATGATATGAAAGAAATAAATGCTAATGGACCCTTTTCAAAGGATGGTAGGGGGATGACGCGCTGTCCTGACATCTGATAAAGGCACAGAAACAAGTGTTCACCCCACTGGAGCTGGACCACACCGCTGGGTGCTGAGGCACCACCTCCTAGGATTATTCCACATAACACGTGGAACGAAATGATGGAGTTGGAGCGACACCCCACATCGCCGTCAGGTTGATGGAGGTGGGCAGTGAGCTGCAGGGACCGCAGCTGGCGTCCCAAACAGAGGACTGCCAGAGGCGCCGTCTGATCCAAGACAGCCCTCAACAGTGACGGTCTCCCTGAAGGCCGGGACCTTCACGTCACCATGTGCGGTCCAGCGGCTGTGTGTGCCATGACGCACCTGACCTGCCACCTTACGGGGTGTCACGGAGCTAATGATGTTTTACACATTTTTCTTAGTTGTCTTAACAGAATTAAAGTAATAATACCACTTATACTGTGAAGTAAACGAGAGGCTGGCACCCTTGCCCTCCCACAGGCTTGTCCCCGAGGGTCACTGCACGCCTCAGAAGCCGCCCTTCTGCGCCACGCTGCCTCCCCTGGCAGCCACTAACCCCGCCGCAGGGGAAACGGCAGTTAGGGTGGCATTCCTCCAGGTATTTGTCATTCCTGAAACAAAAACGTCTGTGCGCTGCAATAGATCAGACAAAAATAGAGCCGAGGTTGAAAGTGTGGTCAGGTGCTAGGCCCACAGAGGGTGCGAGGCAGGGGGTGAGGAGGTGAACTCATCTACTGTGTCACAGAGAGAGCAAAATCCAAGGGCTGATGTCATCAAGACAGCACCACAAACAAGGCAAGACGATGCTCTGATCCACCACCCGTTACAGTGACCTTTACCAAAGTCAGACCATGTCCCACCTAAGGTGACACTCAAGCCTTAGAGTCTGGTGGGCCTGACCACCAGGTCCCACATCTCCAGGGCACACCATGGCAGCCTCCTGAGAGCAAGAGAGCTTTTCCTGTCCACACCCAGGAGCCACTGATGGGGCACGTCACTTGACATATGGCACCAACCAGATGAAGCAATCCTACGTGAGGAATCATCATGATTTTGGTCAACATTTGGTACTTTTAAAAAAATGAGGTGAAGGGGGCACCTGAGTGGCTCAGTCAGTTAAGCGTCTGACTCTTGACTTCAGCTCAGGTTATATATGATCTCACGGTTCATGAGATCGAGCCCTATGTTGGGCACTGAGCTGACAGTGTGGA